CAGAGAGTGTGTGGGGGGGGGACAATCGTGTAGAGCAGCGGTGAGCGTTGGGCATCCTCAGCACTCCAGCTGTAGTGGAACCACAAATGCCATCATGTCTTTGCCTCTGGTAGTCATGCCTGTGGATATCAGAGTCATGCAATGCATCATGGGACTTGTGCTTCCAAAACCACTGGAGCCCAATGTTGCCTACCTCAGCCGCCGAGCCCCCCCGAGACCTCACTCACCTCCACCACCAGGAGTCCGGCAGCCCGCAGATGTCGCCGGCACATGGCGTATCTCCCCAGCAAGTCCTTTCCCCGGAACGAGTAGTGTGAGAATTCCCGAGTCAGGATGGCGAACCTGAGAAGAGGAAACGCAGAATGTGAAACGGAGAACCAAACCCGGGAGTGTTCCTCCAAACACGGGGGAGACCGACAATACAAACCCCTCTGTGCCAGAATCAACTCCAGTAATGACAACAAGACACCGCCAACCTAATGAGGATTGTCCCTCATTATACCATAGCAACACGTATAACTGGTGATGTCCCTCCCCTTCGGTCTCCCACCGGACCTCCGTCCTCCCCTTCGGTCTCCCACCTGACCTCCGTCCTCCCCTTCGGTCTCCCACCTGACCTCCGTCCTCCCCTTCGGTCTCCCACCTGACCTCCGTCCTCCCCTTCGGTCTCCCACCTGACCTCCGTCCTCCCCTTCGGTCTCCCACCTGACCTCCGTCCTCCCCTTCGGTCTCCCACCTGACCTCCGTCCTCCCCTTCGGTCTCCCACCTGACCTCCGTCCTCCCCTTCGGTCTCCCACCTGACCTCCGTCCTCCCCTTCGGTCTCCCACCTGACCTCCGTCCTCCCCTTCGGTCTCCCACCTGACCTCCGTCCTCCCCTTCGGTCTCCCACCTGACCTCCGTCCTCCCCTTCGGTCTCCCACCTGACCTCCGTCCTCCCCTTCGGTCTCCCACCTGACCTCCGTCCTCCCCTTCGGTCTCCCACCTGACCTCCGTCCTCCCCTTCGGTCTCCCACCTGACCTCCGTCCTCCCCTTCGGTCTCCCACCTGACCTCCGTCCTCCCCTTCGGTCTCCCACCTGACCTCCGTCCTCCCCTTCGGTCTCCCACCTGACCTCCGTCCTCCCCTTCGGTCTCCCACCTGACCTCCGTCCTCCCCTTCGGTCTCCCACCTGACCTCCGTCCTCCCCTTCGGTCTCCCACCTGACCTCCGTCCTCCCCTTCGGTCTCCCACCTGACCTCCGTCCTCCCCTTCGGTCTCCCACCTGACCTCCGTCCTCCCCTTC